TAATCCTGATGTTATTTCGATTGTTGTTGAAGCTGTAGTGCCTACACTAACAGGAGTATTACTAGACAGTTGATAGTAGACCTCATAACCAGTAGCTCCTGATACAGTAGACCAGGAGAGTCTTACATGAGTTAAACCAGTACTTAATCTTGTAGCAGTTAAACCAGTTGGAGTATTAAATACTAAAAATAAATTATAAATATCTAATAAAAATAATAAATTTGACAAACCTGATAAACTCAATGATGTGGTACTACTTAATGCCTGAACATTTCCAATACGACCATTAGTACCATCAGTTACTCTCTCATTAAATACAGTACACTGATAGTTACCAGCTTTTCTTAAGTTTGTTATTGTCACTCTTGTAACAGATCCTGGTCCATTCACTATCACACGAGACAGTTCAGTAGATGCTATATGTATATTAGTATTCAAGAAACAACTGACAGTAGTAGGAGGACCATCAGAGACATTGAAACTGAGACTGAAGACTGGAGGAGTAGCTAATCTACTAGTGGAGAGGAGAGAGAACTGCATAGTAGGATCAGCATCAGGACCATCTGTAAAAGAAGTACATTAATTATAGTCTATATTCATCACATACCATTGTTATTGTATCCAGGATCAGTATATGCTCCAACCACTAGTGTTTGATTCACTCCATTCTCATCAGGAATGATACACTTGTATAAACCTTCATATCCTGATAGTCCATCTCTTCTAGCTAGTGCAATCTGACCACTGAACCTCTTACTGAACACTGGACTAGGAGCTGATGGATCATCAAATTCTCCGTCAAATAAAGGTACTTCAGTTCCATTAGGATAATACCACACTCCAATATTAGTAACATTGTTAGCACTCTGACACCACAAAGCATCATTGATATTATTAACATCATTATTTTCATCTTTATCATAAAACTGGCTAGCATATATCATAGAGTAATCAGGTATTATCCTGTCCTCATAAGCTAGGTACAGTTGAACACCTGAGTATTAGTATAGATCTAAAAATTACCAAAATTAATTTTCTTACCATGACTGGTTAGGATGGTAGGTTCTTGTCCAGATACAGTTATCAGTTGAACTAGTAGTGGTATGAGTAAAATAAAGCAAGAGCTTGTTGACAGTGCCATCCTGTTCCCTAGAATGATACTGCTCATTACCTTTTGCTACTTAAAAGTCATTATATGGGTAAGTTAACTTATTTTATGTAACTGACATTAATAAACATTACTTATTCTAGAACATACCAGGGGCATAGGAATAGGGGACAGCCGCTTTATTGACCTGGGGGCTCTGCCGCCCCCCCCCCCACTTTTACTAAACTGGCTTTTGTGAAAATTACACCATTTCAACTTATACCAATAAGCACCTCATAATGATAATGCACCAAGTCATTCAAGTCAATTTTAATTTCCTTTAAATGCATGGCTGAACTAATTCAAGTTACAAGTATGGCTACTAGTAGAAAAAGACAAGCTATTATTAGTCTATTATTATTATTATTATTATTATTATTATTATTATTATTGTTATTATTATTATTATTATTATTATTATTATTATTATTATTATTATTATTATTATTATTATTATTATGAACTTAACAGTATAAGACAATATAGGCAGAGACAAGAGAAAAAGGACAGAGGGTACTGAAGGACAGCAACAACATGTGTTGCAGCCAGAAAAAAATAAAATAAATAAAAGTAAATAAATAAAGTAAATAAGTGAATTAAAGTTTGCATGAGTGATTATTGGAGATGACAGGAAGTACAGGGACAAATGTAGTGGAATGTGCATAGAGAATCAGGTGAGAAATGTAGTAGAAAGTGATCCCAAAAAAGTGAGCATACAGCTGCCTCTTGATAGTGCCGTAAGTAAGAGTGAGATCAAGGCAGTGAGAAGGGATAGTGTTCCATAGCCTCACAACACAGTTAAAGTAGAATTGGCGCGTGGTAGAAGTTCTCCGGAATTTTAATGTGAGAAATTGCATGTATCATTATCAACTATGTGCGGTGCCTGCCCCCCCACTTTTCAATAGCTTCCTACACCTATGCATACACATCTTAAACTAACCACTGGCAACATATTTGCATGTACAACAAATATAATGTTAATTATAATGTAGAGTAATGTTTGTACATAAAAGATGAGCATCATTAAACAGTTGGTATTTCATATTCAGTAGAAGGTGGTGGAAGAGGAGTCTCATATTCATTATTAGTTGTATCATACACTGGCTCAACAGTTGATCTATTAATAATAACTTTAAATAATAATAATAATTGTATTTTATATAACTGACTGTGTTTGTTGTACTGTACTGTATGCTGGACTATCCTTCATTAGTATATCATCAGCAGTACTGTATGTGTGTGTGTATAGACATAATGTAATAGTCAATAGTGTAACTAACTTTGTTTTAAATTCAGTTGTAGCATAAGCTGGACTGCACTCCATTACAATGTCATTATCTGATTTTCTATAAATTTTAAAATTAATTCAGTAATGAATGGGTACACATTTACCTTTTTTGATTAATATTAGTTCTTTTTTTGTACAAAGCTAGGGCCAGTATAATTATTATAATTATAGCCAGTACTAATAATACAATAAAAACTACACTTAGGCCAACTATCACTCCAATATTCCCCTTATCACTGACTAATACAGTAGTCAATGGAGTAGTCATGGTAGTTGTCTCAGTAGAATAAGTAACTATAAACATAAACTGATTAGTACATGCATCAGCAGTGATATGTTTACTCATGTTTAATGACACTATTAATGACATTACTTTAAAGTAAACTGATTATAATACAACTATTAGATTTAGTATATGTATACTGTCTCACTTGTTGATGATCCTGTAACAGTAATGACTGATGAAGTACTTGATACAATAGTAGGAGTTAGAGTAGCACCTAAATACATGTAGTAAGCATCATTAATGAAGTAACTTATTATAGTATAACCTGGTGGTATTGGTTTAGTCCTCTCTCCTTCATAAATGATTCCATTAACAGTAAATGATGTAGATATAGAGAACAAGTAGCTAAGATTAGGATTTAATCCTCCTATTAGACCTTCAGTAGTATCACCTGGGAATACTCTCATTCCTGTCTCTACTTGTCTCTTCTTTCTTGAGGAGCTACTGGTTGACTCATAGTAGACAGTATAATGACTAGCTCCAGAAATAAAACCCCACTTGGCCCTCACTGCTGTAGAATTAAGCTTTGTTATAGAAAAGTTTTGATTGACAGCTAAAAATTTTAAAACATGATCATCATAGTATTCTCAGTAATTTTTTTACGTATTTCAATAGTAGTGTATTCTCTATCAGTCCATTCTCCTGGTCCAATACTAGTATATGCTCTCACTCCAATAGTATAACTAGTATTAGGTATCAATCCTGCTATTTCGTAATAAGTGTTAGTAGTGTTAGTTATATTGTATGGACCAGTACTGGTAGACTCTCTATATCTTATCTCATATACTGTAATGATACCATTAGGTATTGTAGGAGGATTCCATACAATAATTATTGCAGTTGGTGGGATTGCATGTCTTAGATCAGATATCACACCAGGAACTGTGTTAAGATCATGTTAAACTGATCAATATCTCATTGACTTACTTGATTCAGCAGTTAATTGTATTTCTTGTCTAGCTAGTCCATTCATATTATAATTATAAGGTATTATACTCACAGTATAGTTAGTATATGGTATTAATCCTGTGAGATTATACATTCTGTTGTCTCCTCCAGTGATATTAACAGTATAACTAGTGTTTGAAGTGATGTTAGTGTATGTGAGGTAGTATCCAGTGATTGGTCCATTCCTTCCATTGCAAGATACTTCATCCCATGATACAGTCATTGACACTGACTCTACTGATGAGAATATAATATCACCCACTGGTCCAGTAGGAGCTATTGAGAAGGGACTAATAATAACCTTTAATAATTATAATTTTTCACTCACCAGTTAAAAGTGTAGTAGCTAAAATATTGGTAGTCAAATAAGCTACATCAGATCCATATACTCCAATAAGATCAAAGCCACATTGACTGTAAGGAGGTATACCAGTTGAAGTATGTGGTGATGAAACTGATGTTGTACTATTACTAGTGACTGATGATTCACATACTCTCCTACATCTCCTATTAATATTATAACTAATTGGTACTATAGGAGTTGGTGGACTCCATGTTAGTGTAATGGAAGAAGCTTTAACTAATGAACCCATAAAATAATTAACAACTGGATCACCTATAATAATATTATACATGTACATATGCTAATTTTAATTAAGATAACTTACTAAATGTTAACATAACTGAAGCATTACCACTAGGTAGAGAAGCTGATCCATAAGATACTACATAGAAAGTGTATGTAACCCCTCGAATCAATCCTGATGTTATATTGATTGTTGTTGAAGTAGTTGTGCCTGCACTAACAGGAGTATTACTAAACAGTTGATAGTAGACCTCATAACCAGTAGTTCCTGATACAGTAGACCAGGAGAGTCTTACATGAGATANACCAGTACTTAATCTTGTAGCAGTTAAACCAGTTGGAGTATTAGATACTGAAAATATTAATAAAGATTTTTAACAGGAATAATAG